CCAGCGTTTACAGCAAATTCCGTCCAATGACCATAGATGTTTTGCTACTTGAAAGCGGTGCGTGATGACCGAGTCAGGCTTTAATTGCGTAATACGAAACTGGGCGACTATGGCCCCACTACTAGTCATCTATTGGCCTATGTTTCAACAACGTAGCCATTTGTAGAACCATCTCATATCCGTATTTCGTGCTAGCGTCCACAAAAGACTTATCGACAATACTTCTTGAGGCTCCCGTGTCCAGCATCGCGCTTCATTGGTTCTTGTCATGTCGTAGCTGGGCTGTGATGCGATGCGGTGCTTTTGTTATCTTCGGTCTATGCTGAACTAATCCAAAAGGCTTACACTCGTCGTCACTGCTTGAGGCATCTTCCTTGAATATCATTGAATATTCATCTTCTTCAACTTTTTCCTCCATTGCGTGTGCTTCGCCTTTTGCTTCTTGAGTGCAAAGCTGTGGTGGAGTGGGGATTCGCAAAATTGCTGATGCGATTCCAACTCTCCACTGGCGCCCGGACGACCGACTAACGGAGGAGGTACCCCGATTCCGTTTGTATAGCTTTCCTCACCTTGTGTACCCGTCGGTAGGGCGGGTTGTTTCTTTTTGGTAGACTTAAGTCGATGTTGATCCTAATCAGGATAGGAATAGGAGGTTTGGTGATCTTGTGAGAATCTTCACAAGATCAACCGAGTACTTGTTTGTTGATCTTACCAATAGATCCCAATAGTCCATTAGGGAGAAGTTTGAATCTTCTGACCACTTTAGCAGAACCTTCTGACCACTTGACCCGCCCTGCACTTGCTTGACTTGCCCTTAATTGTTCTTTCTGCGTCCGATCGCAGTTGGGTTGTTGTGTTAGGAATTCCTTTGTGATGGAGTGGATTCTCGAACAATGTAGGAGATCCATAAACACACACAGCGCCGGACTGCCGACTTACGGAGGGGGTACCCCGATACCGTGTAGTGTTAAACTTGGGTCTCACCTTGTGTACCCGTCGGCTTGGCTGGTCTTGCTCCTCGGTTGACGCAAAAGCCTTAGGGAACTGGTCTTGTATAGAATGACTTGGTGGTCTCCGAGTGGATATACTTCACTTGGGACCGGGTTTCTTGGGATCAATCGACTTAGTCGAGAGCGATGCACCTGGTACTATGTACCCCTTTGGTGGCTGACTGTTCTTGGTCCTTGGACCCCTTTATATTCTTCCCCGTAGGGAAACCGCTTCCTGTAGCGGGTCGTAGAGTGTTGACACTTACTTGACACCTCAGGCCAACTATCCTGAGGTTCAACTTGCGTTGCTTGTAGCCGTCACTCCACCTGACGTCGGGGGGCCAAAGGGTATCCCGCCCAGAAGAGTTGAGGCGACGGAGAAGCTTGGAAGGGGCGCTTAAAGCTGCCACGTGTAATGCAAATTCAAGTGTGTTTATTTATCTTATACCCGGTATGCTTTTCTTGCCTAATCCTAACCTTCGCTCTAGATGACACCACGTGTCAACTTGTGGATGAGCAACTGGATCTTTTAGGACATGTGACTTGTACCGTCTCTGCACTATAAGAAAGCCTTGTAACTTCTATAACCTGGGGCCCATCTCTCACCTGGGGTTCACCTGTCACCTGGGGTCCACCTGTCGTCTGGGGTCCACCTGTCGCCTGAAGTCCACCTGTTGCCTGGGGTCCACCGGTCACCTGGGGTGAACCGGTCACGTGGGGTTGCTCTAGGCTGCCCTAGCGGCACTGGGCCTTCGGGCTGTAGTGTAGGGCAACCTGGTATCTACTACGAACTCGGGACCTTAAACCAGTTCGGGGTCCTGGTCACTCCCTGTCGCTCATTCGAGAGAGTGACCGAGATCTTTCACGCCAGTTATTATAATAACTACAAAGTGACTTAATTTCTCTGGCACTTCTGTCCCTGGTTACTGGAAACCCTGTCCCCGGTTACTGGAAACCCTGTCCCGGTTACTAGAAGTTCTTTCCCCGGTTACTGGAAACCATGTCCCTAGTTACTGGTACCTCTGTCCCCGGTGCCCTATCCCCGGTAACTGGTATCCTGTCCCTGGTGAACCTCATTTGAATCTTGGAACCTTGCGAGGCCTGGATTATTTCCTTTTTATTGTGATATCCTCAGGGACCCCGATTCTTCTGGCACTTCTCCACACCTTCGCCTGGCCAAAACAATCCAGGATGCGCTTGTAGTCGATACTCCTGGGGTCGGGAGGCCGAATAGTCTGCTCGGAATAGAGAAGTCGACATGTGTATTTAGAAGCAAATTGAACTTGTTTAATGTTAACCAATCAAATGCCGAAACCTACGATTCTGCCTATCTGTAATCCAGGATATATTACCACGTGTCGTTCCTTCAGAAAAATAAGATCTCGATATGTGGTCCACTCCAAATACCTTCGCCATCCCCATCCACTTGCGATCTTGCCTTATCCTTGGATCGCGATCGGAATCAGATCGCGTATCAGTTCAGGATCGCGGTCGATCCATAACGTGTGATTCTTGTGACTTAAATCGCGGTCGCTTCGGGTCGCGTATCTGAACTGGATCGCGATCTGTTTCGGATCGCTTTCTGAGCTAGATAGCGTTTTCTGCACAATGGATCGCGATCGATCCACAATGTGTGGTCCACATAACCTGGATCGCGATCTACACTTTGCGAAATTCCACTGTTCCACATTCACGTATAATCCGTACAAATTTAATCCATTTGATTGGATCAACCGATAATGGAATCAAGTATAATCCAAACGGTGATCTATTCCATGATAATCCAATATAATTCGAAAATGTGATCCATGCCATGTATCTTTACCTTAAGTATGTTTCGATCCATATTATCATCGTATTCGAACCCATTGATCCTTTCTTCATTCGTTTTATTAAACAAGCAAATATACGATATTGGATCAGCGGTACTTTTCCATTCGATCGTCCATGAATTGAGATCGACTTCACCACACCCAATAAGTCATTTTAGTAGGTGAGTTAATGGGAAACAGGAATCCAACCGTTATGATAAAGGGATCCGACCGTTATGGGAAAGATTTCCAATCGTTATGGGAAAAAAGTCTCGCCATTATGGGAAAGGGATCCAACCGTTATGGGAAAGGGATCCAACCGTTGGCAAGAATAGTCTCGATAACTCGGCTCCGAATTTATCGAGAAAATTATTAAATGGACCTAGCCAAAATTATATTATCGACTTTACCACAAAGCAATCGCTAGTATTATGAGATCGTGTCTTGTGATGGGAGCACCACTTATCTCCTTCGGACTTCGCCGGATGATTTGTCCCTTACTTCTTGTTGCACGGTTAGTAAGTGCTCTTGTGCTCACTCTTTCTTGCGTCACGCGCGTGATCCTTGTTGCGACCGCCTTGGTATCCACGGCTTCTTGTGAAGATGGCCTCTTGTGTAATTTCTCTTGTTTCTTAATGCATGAAAAGTAAAGTATCATCTCGTTAAGCGTATCAGGGATGACACCCGCCGCTGCCAGCTTATCTTGCCATGATATCGGCAACCCCGCGCTTTAAGCGACGCATTTGCACATCTGGTATCACTTCTGCGTTCTGCGGAAGCTCAGCAAATAAACGAATGTAGCCACGAAAACGCTGGGAAACTTCAGTACAATTTTATTCCGTCGCTTTGTCATGTTCTATGATTTGTTGCCCAGATCTTCGCTGAAATCTTCTGGTCCTACAGCGGTAAAGAAACGGTCAAAAGTTCAACTATTGGTTCTTGCTTTGACCACCAGAGGGTACGTCTTATGCGAGGTCCCTTTCAATCAGAGCTATAAGATTACGGTTCTTTTGGTCGTCAGTCCATTCTTTTTCTTAGCAAGGCTTTGGAGTCATAGCTTCACTTGAGATGGTCCCACTGACTTCCCCCTTCAAACTTGTTCATCTCAACTTGCATGTTATGTAACAGGCTAAAAGTTACACGGTTCGTTAAGTATCGAATACTTTACAAGCAGGCCTAAATAGGTACGAGGTACCTTAGGCCTGCCACTTGGGTGTATGTGACCCACCCTCGTGAATGTAATATCCATGGATGGGTGCGCAGTGAGAGTAGATGTAGTAAATATAAGACTGACTTATATTTCATAGACTCAAACTAAATATAAGCTTAACTACTGATTGGTTAAATGCAAAGATTGGATACGCGTCTCTATAGATGCGTATCCCTACGTGCGAGCTTAAAGTATATTTAAGCTCGCTGATGACGTCTGTTTGAAGCATCACCATGACGCCCAGTCTCAACTGGCGTCATCCTCGTTGAATGCGAATGAGAAGCTGTATAAGCTTCTGCGTGTCGTAAGTGTAGCTCTTGTCTTAGTAGTTCGTTGCGCGGTTAGCTCCAAAGCGATCAGCAGCGGTTGGTACTTACTGTGCTTGAAGCGACGACCATCACCACCACCAGGTAAGACGGTCTAACCGCTTCCTCAAGCTGCTCGAAGGTGTGCCCGCGTAGTTCTTTACGAAGTGCCCGTCTACATGGTATTAGCTGAATTTTGCCTTCGACTTGCGAGATCACCACCGTACAAGTGACAAGTCGGTTTCGTCGTATCTGCCCATGATAATACCTTTAATTTTGTATTTTGTGGCTGGCTAGTAGTAGACGATCAGTTATTCTCAAAGGGTTGATTCTCTTGCGTCCGATTAAGATTTAATTTTGACATTTCAAAATGACACGCCCTTGGCTGGCAGAGAGGCTATCGGCTTCGGGGGCTTGCTGGAGAGGCTTCTGGAGATGTAGGTAAAAATGAGAATGAATTAATTAAACAACCATGAGTTCTATCGTGCTTAAGCTAGCGTGCTGTTATAACCTGTCAACTAGGGCATGTCAGAACCTTTTAAGTGTTGCATGTCATAAACTGTATGTCATACCAACTGGCATGTCAAAGAGCTCGGTGGACGCAAATTTTGATAACCTGCCGGAGGATTAACTTATTGAAAAAAGGTCTGTATTGATTTATAACAGTTGTATCATGATTGTCGACCTAGAAATCGATGACGTCGTGCATATTCCTCTGTGTGAAGAAAGCAGCACGTGTGGCTATAGGTTTAGCTTTCCTTGGAGCTGTAGTGAGGAATGAAGCGATGGACTGAGTCCCTGCTGGAGCATTGGCCTGTCAACCACCAAAAAAACAGTTGACAAAACTTCTACCTCTTCGTCATTGCAAACGTCTCCTACCTTGTCAAGCTCCTTCTCGTGAGGCCATTCGACCTTCACAGCCTTCTCAAAGAACGGGTCGATAGTGCCCCAGCTAAAGCGGATGATGTTTGGGAATAAAAACACTTCGTCCATGTGGTTTGTCAACCAAGTCTTCGTCCTGTCACAAGACACGGCCGTCAACATCATCCCTCTCTTTTAACTATACTTGCAGCATACTTAGGATCACTGGGATATCCAGAGCCAAAGTCCGTTGGAAGGTCAAGCAACGCCGACTCCCACTTCCAGTCACTAATGACACGGTCGCGCGTCACTTTTGCCGCAATACTCGCAGCACTCACCACCTGCACAGCTCCCACATGTTAACAGCCTTACAGACACATCAACCAAAGAATTGGAGTAATCATTCTATACCTTGAACAGACTGTCAGCCTTCTTTTCAACGCAAAACTCGATAGTTCCGTTAAAGTGTTTAGTCAAAAAGCTCTGATACCAACGTGGGTCACCCACTGTATCCACAAACACCTTCTTCACCACTGCTCCTTTCTTCTGCACCTCATTGATCAATTGAATGGCTGCGTCACGTGAGATTTCGTTCAAATTGCTGGTCTGGCGCTGCATCTTGTCCGAGATCTCAGCGGCCGAAATGAGTCGCACGATCCACCTGCCAATTGTCATCAATCAGTTACATGGACAATATCCACCATACAAATTGCCAGCGTCTTGAAGCAATAACACACACCCGAGACTTTCAGTAGATCGCATCTTTTCAAATAATTGCGCTCTGCTTTCGGCGCTCAGGGCTTTCGAGTCATCAAAGCCCAACGTGCACATGGTTTCGTTCTCGGACACGGGCCAATAGGCAGCACCGTAGACCATGGGACCCATCACAGGACCTCGACCGGCCTCGTCAATACCCAACATAACCGGGACCTCATTAAGGCAATTGGCGGGACAGTCACTGGCCAGCAGCACCGTGGTCTGTAGATTCGGTCGAGACATTTTGCAATTCGGTATTGGCCGTGATTTAAAGTCTGATTTTAACCAGTTAAGGGTCAGTTATAGTAAGATTTACCGACTGATTTTAGTCTGATCTGCAAGGATAAGTTAAAACGAATATTGATTTTTAAGGCGAGAAGTCCAAAGGGTGGGGCAAAGCTTGACGTGGTGCAACGATATGCTCGATAATTGTGTCGTCGCGAGACAAGTGTGAGATTGTGAGCTGGTGAGATAGATTAGTTTTTGAGTCACACGTGAAGCAAAAGTGTAAGAAAACTATGTAAAAATGATGCAGAATCGCTGCCTTTGGTCGTATCGCTTTGCTCTCGAGTGGTGGAGTGCTGCTGAGTCCAGCGCAAATAGACAGCCCGATAATTTGGTGGCTCGTTTGCGGTGTCAGAAACGGACTTGGCGCCTGTAAGTTGTATACGTGGAGACTTAAGAGACGCAAAGAAACGGTCGTTGTCGTCAACATCACCAACTGTTACGATGGAGAAAAATCTGCTATATCATGTCCTCGCTGGGATAGAGAGGCCACGATTGTAGCTGACGGCCTGCCACTGCTGCTTGTCGTGGTGCGCATTGTGATACCGTCTGATAAACCAGTTACTTGAGCTTGCTGAGATAGGTCATTGCACTAGAAACTAGTTCTGCATGGAAAGCCGGTGGGCACAGCTGAAACCTTGCATCTTGTTATAGTGGCACCATAAGATCGGTAGCACCATGCATGAGATTTGTACAATGGACGCAAGTTGTGCGTGATCCACTTATACAGCTGCACGCTTCAGAGTTAGGAGAGCATTTCAAAGCACTGGGGCAAATGTGAATTTTTTGCCGCTCCATGCAATTCCCTTCCCGTCACATCGCACTTGTACTGGAATTTGTATAATCACCGACATATTCGTATGTAATTCAGTCTCCCTAGCACCCTAACCCCATATTCGGATATACGACAAAAACGAGGCAGGGTGGAAGAGGCGTGGCAGTGAGTAATAAAATGCCTCTTCCTGCCTCGGTAGCTCACCTGAAAAGCCAGCGCTGGACTGCCCATCGATGGAGGCTGCAGAGGACATATAGGCGACCAGCTCTTAACCACGCTTCATTTGTTAAAACGTCGAGCAGTAGCGAGGACAAGTAGTACTCAGCAACAGCACAGTATGCCGAACAATAAAGTGTCAATCACGGCTACGCGGCGCCGCATGCAGCCGATCCGTGCCACGCCTAAAGAGACCCCACAACACGTGCCACAACTTGTAATACGACCTACGAACCGCGGTGGTGAGACGCTGCAGGTGGCTATGGGTGGTACTGCCATTGAGCGCTCTATGGTCAACGTCGGTTCCATTGCCGTGTACCACGTCAAGCCCGTCGTGTCCACAGACAATAAGCTTGGCAAGAAGACGACCATCTTTGCTGTACATGTGCAGAATGCCATCACTGGTCGCAGTTGGGTGGTACACCGTCGCTACTCGGACTTTATGATGTTGCGTGGCCTTATCACCGAACACTTTAAGCTTTTTGGGGACGAGTTCCCGCGCATCTCGGGGCTTGTGAGCGAGCTCTACTTTCCCAAGAAGCACAAGTTCCGCCACAAGATGGGCAAGGTGGTCGAGCACCGATGCGATACATTTCTCGATTTCCTCATGGGTCTACACCGACTCCTCATCAGCCAGAATTACCTCATGCGACGTGACATCAGCCCCGTCGGATTGTCCATTTTGCGTGGCTTTCTCGGTAGTGCTATCGTACAGGACCCGAGTCACCGAGCCTATACGTTCCACAAGCCGATTCTTCCGATTGATCTTAGTCCGTCCGAGCGGACCCCGATCAATCAGTGTGGATCATTAACCACCGTGATAGAAGATGATGCCGAGTATGAGGTGGAAGTTGAGGACGTCGAACCGGAACCTGAGTCAGAAGCGGACATTCTTTCTCGCGCCGGATCGACAGGTACGGAAGGCTCGTTGACTGAGGATATGAGCGACGGTGACGACACAGAGGAGGAGCTTTTGCGCATGACCGAGATTGTCGACCGACGACGCTCTTATAAGTACGCTCGCGGCCGCCGAATGCTGCTCTTCCTACGCAAAGACGGCGTGTGTACAGAGGCAGAGAGCCCAACTGACAACAAACAGGAGGATGTGTCCCCCTGTACCCCTCGTCCACGTGATAGAATTCACACTGAAAAGATGTATATCCGTGCATCGGAGATGCTGCGACCATCTGACATGGTACGTATGTCTGAAGCCTCGAAGCCAATGTGGACATGAGTGACAGCGACACGTACACATTATCAAGTTTGCCAAACACTTTTGTCGTCACTGTAGCCATGACATCTCCAAATAGCAATGGAACTGAATTGCGAGATGGTACGCAGTGATGATTGGCGAAAGACAACAGCAACTAAAGACACGGCCATGACATTATCAATTGGAGATAGTACAGCTGCAAACAGGACGCGAACGGAAGCTCCTCTAGACGCACGCACATACGGCTCTTTATGATTTTCGAAAGCATCTTAAAAATTATTTAATATCACAGTGTTCACATCATCAGTTATCTCAATCATCTCGCTTATGTTTTATTTGGTTAATTTTTACCAATGACAATAATACTTATATCAGCTAATCATCTGCATCCATTCCAATTTTATTCAACCAATCAATCTGCGCGAAATTGTCTAAAGTGCGCCAGTCATCCATTCTCATGGCATTGGGTGTGAAGGAGAGCGTAAGTGGCAAATTGTTTCGACTGACGACCGATGGACGCGAAGAGCGCGTATGTGGTGGTAAAGGATCTGTGTATCTGAGTGGATCTAAGGTAGCGCTGCGTTGCTGCGGCAAGACGAGTATTGTGGCTACACGACAGACGAAGCAGAGCATCCTTCGGCATGGTGACGTGATGTTATTGGGCCTCCGTGACACTTTTTACGCCAATGGGACGCTCACAAAATACGAAGTAGTGGATACCGATGTCGTACCGTCTCAAGTGGCGCTGCACGTGCTGCCAACACGCGTCCCGAGCATTACAATGAGCTCATCTGCTTCGAATCGGCATAAAAACAATCGAGTTCTTGCAGATTCAAGCACACGACGTGTGTCTTCATTCTTTGCACGACCACAAGCTGAGTTAAGTACGAAAAAACAGGAGAATCAGGGGGTACACGAGGTGGAAATTGAAGATGCTACAGCGTCCAGTACAGCAGAAGACGCTGAAGACGAGGAGGAAGTGACTATTGCTAAGAGACGGCGGAATAAACGGACACGAGCAATTGTGGAATCCGATGATGAAGCAGATACAAAAGACGTGGACAATTTGCAGCACTTGACGGTGGACTCGGACATGTCGTCACCTCGACAAGACGACGATGTCTTTGAGAAAGAGCTGGAGAGCTCGACGTCAGCTGCGAAGGACTGGATGGCGGCTTTTGGACGCAATTTAAGCAAGAAAAACAAGTCAGACAAGGCTCGGACGGGTTTGGATGGATGGCGTAGTCGTGCAGATGAATTCACGAGCAAGAAAAAAATAAAACCTGGTTCAGGAAGGAGGTACATCGATGAAGACAGGAATGATTATGGCGGTGACTCTGATGAAGACGAGCATTATTCTCGATCTCATGATGAAGTTGGTCAGCTACTAGAAGAGTGTGAAGGGATTGCTTGGAAACTACGTCAGTCGGTGCAGAATTGGTCGGGTAATGCGACCAAATCGACGCCGTCGAGTCCCCCGACGTCGTCTGCGGATGCTACAGATGAAGAGGTGGCGACACACATGTCGCTGGCAACGATTAATGGCGGAGATCGACGCGTGATTACGCAGGCCGATATCCCGGATATTTGCGAGACGCTCGAGCTGAAGCCATACCAAGTGGTTGGAGTCAACTGGCTGCTGCTGCTTCATGAAAATAAGGTATCTGGCGTTCTGGCGGATGAAATGGGCCTTGGCAAAACCGTACAAACGATTGCGTTCTTGCTGCTTCTCAAATCGCTGGAGCAGTCGGACGACCGGGCGGTTGGACCTCATCTCATCGTTGTACCTGCAAGTGTGCTGAATAACTGGACACGAGAGTTTGCGTGGATTGCACCGAAGCTACGCATTGTCACATATCATGGATCGAAGGACCATCGTCGTGAATTGGAAAACACTCTCGACAGCAACGATTTTGAAATTATGCTCACGACTTACGCTTACTTTGAGCGCGATACTTGCCAAGAGGAGCGCGCATTTTTGCGAAGCTTCCATTTTGGCTATATGATATTAGATGAAGGCCACAGTATCAAGAACTCAAACACGTCGCGGTTCAAGCGGATTACCGCACTGCGCGCACGGACCCGATTAGTTCTGAGCGGCACTCCAATCCAGAATAAGCTTAATGAACTGCTGACAATGCTGAGCTTTCTCATGCCACGCATGTTCGATCACGGTTCGGACGAGCTGTTGAGCTTTTTTGACGGCAGCGAAGAGAAGAAATGCGAGAAAGTGCGTAAAATCCTGGCGCCATTTATTCTTCGGCGAGAAAAGAAATACGTGCTGAGTCAGCTAGTACCAAAGATTGTCTCGGTCGAGCTCGTCAAGGTGGGCGATGATCAACATGAAGCATACACCGACTTGCTCAAAAGCGTCATCGAACGAAGAGAGGCACAAGCGGCTGTGAAAGCTGCAGCAAAGGAACACAAGAAAAACAAGGGCAAGGAACACAAAGCTGATCGTAAATTACGAGAATTATTGGGCTCGTATGCCCCGCCACCTGGAGGTGAGCCTAGCGCGATGTCTATCTTTACGCAATTGCGCAAGGCTGCAAATCACCCAGTTTTACTGCGCAGGCATTTTGTTTCTGATGAAGTGTTGGAGACTATGAGTAGATGTCTGCATCGAGCAGAGGCCTTCGGCAACCAATGCTCCATGAGCAGAGTCCGCCAGGAGCTTGAGTCCTACAGCGACTTTGAACTGCATGATCTTTGTGTACAGTACGAAGCGATCGATGACTTACGGCAGCTGCAGTTGCCTATGGAAACACTGCTGGCATCTGCCAAATTTGCGTTTTTGCGAAAATTACTCCCCAACCTACAGAAAGAGGGCCACCGTGTTTTAATTTTTTCGCAATGGACGAAACTGTTGGATCTGTTGGAAGTTCTCATGGGCCACATGGGTTACCGCTATTTGCGGCTTGATGGGTCTACCGATGTCCAAAGCCGACAGGGACTCATCGATACGTACAACGAAGACAAAGACATCTTCGTCTTTTTGTTGTCTACACGTGCGGGTGGGCTCGGTATCAACCTTACTGCCGCAGATACTGTGATACTGCATGATCTGGATTTCAACCCGACCGCCGACGAGCAAGCATGCGACCGCTGTCATCGAATTGGCCAGACTAAGCCAGTGTCTATCTATAAGCTTGTGTCGGAAAATACAGTTGACCACGACATTTACAAACTTGGCGAGTCCAAGACGGAACTCAATCACAAGATTTTGGACAAGCTCAACGCCCACGGCGATGGCAGAAAGAAGACAAAGAGGTCGGAAGCAGTAACAGTTGAAATGATGCTGGCATCCGTCATCTTGGACTACAAGAGTGCTCAAATGGGATGTTGAACAGCCGCAAAAGGAATGAATCGTTGCTTATGGAATGACCGGATAAATAGTGGTGTTGCTGTTGACACGTGAGTAGATGCGTAGTGGACTTAAGAGTAGTACTGTAGTGTCTTGCTAGAGTTCTCTAGTATTTACTTCCGTCCACTTTGTCAATGGCTTCTCGAGTCTACAATCTCGTACAAAGAAGCCTGGAATTGTACTTGGAAAAATAGATTCATAAGCAAGTGATTTCGACAATGCCTGTTGTCGCCGACTATCGATACGGTGAAGGACAAAAACCACTAGCAAAGGCAAGACATTCATGATGACGACGAAGCTTTGACCAGCTTGACCGTCATCAATATCATCAAAGAGTCAACAACTCTGCTGTTTCATCATGGTAGTCAGCCAAGTGAAAGGAATGAAATCGAGCGTTATTCCGAGCACTGATTCTTTTCATTCCTCTTAACAATAAAGCTCATCATTTGTTGTTCCTGGAAAAAGTGCTATAAGTATAAGTGTTCATGCCGGTTAGTCAATACACTGGAACCCTATGATGAATGGAATTTGCAGTCAAAAGGTCGAGGATGTTATGGTTTCTCGGCACAAACACTATAACGTACGTTTACAGTCTATAGTAGTCCTAAATGCCTACCTGGTCGATCTACAACACGCACTCGAACCATTTCACAGGCATTTTTGCGGAATTGAAAAGCCCGTCACCATTATAAAACGTGGTGTCGGCATGGTTGAGATGTGTCACGTAGAATCGGCTACTGTAGTGATTGCTAAACTGATCAAGTGGCAGGCCACCTGCACAGCTCTGAAACTCGACCAAGCCATCGTTTTGCCTCGACTTATGATGAACTGTAACACCTAGCAGCATATACCTGACTTGAAGCGCTGAAAACAGCCCAACGTACCAGTTGCTGCACATTGCTGCATACACTCGAGACCGATAAACTTTCTGTGCTGCTTTGAAATCCTCGTTCAACTTTGTCGAACTCATCTCTCCGCCTTCATACGTAAGTGAATACGTACCATTCCGTATGGGACATTCGCCCGTCATATTGCCAACTTCCTCCATAATAACAGTGTGCTCACCAGTACAAGATTGTATAGCATAGTCAGAACCCATGCTTCCTAACATTGGAGGACTCGTAGCAACCCACGAGCTGCTCTCTGCAATGGTACACTTTCCATTAGCAAGTGCACCTGCCAAAAGGAGTCCGCCCATAGAATGCGTGACGATAATCGTGTCCGCAATATCGGTTCGTGAGCTGGATTCAGTCAAAGAGGTGGCAAGGTCGCACATAATTTGCTGTTGTTTTTCGTTGTTCCAGCCAGTCTCCACGGAATTCCAGATCATGTACTTGAATTCCGTGCAACATGGTGCATGGTCTGACACATCTCCCCAGTAAGATGAGAACGAGTCGTGGAGGTTTGCTTTCGTGTAGTTGATTCCCAAGCCGTGGATAAAAAGACACGGACGCGGCGTCGACATGCACGAGCACGAAGTCGTACTCAAAGTGATATTCGGGCCATAGTCGAAACTTCTCGAACTGTCAGAATTTGCCTCGCCAGTAAGCAAAACGGTCGTAGCAGCAGTCACTACAGTAGCCTTCATGACGGCCTTGCACTTGCTCGTCGCGCTAGCATCCAGATTTGGCGCTGAAACCGTTACAGGTTTTTTCAAATACTTGATCTCAATTTCCATATCGCTGCCGTAAATGTGAATACCTAAAGAACCCGACGCACAAATTGCCAAGTTGAGTCCTCGAAACTTGGTCCCGAAAAGGTTTCCCGTCGAGCACTTAAACGTAGCGCCTTCTAAGGTAGCACTCGAAATCAGGATGGCGTTATTAAGTGCAGGAAGTATATTAGTAAGTAGTGGCAGCATGCTTGATGGTAAGCATTGCGACATGGATGATAAGATGTGAGTCTGGCCAGGATCTAAGCTGATCATAGAGTAAGCGACACCATTGACGAGCAAGTACCTAATAAATGTCGTTTCTTCGGTGAAGTCGACATATCCGTCGTAAATGACGCTGACTCCATCGTTTGACATGACCGGTCTGGCGTAGATGTCGAACTCTTGCTGACCATGAACCCGCAAAGAGTTTCGCTTCAGGGTGAAGTGGAGCTTTAAGGAGGGCCACTCATGATGTGTGCTAATACGGAGGTCCCCGTGAACGGTTCTTTTGCCTGTGAAATTTGTCGATGTTGCAAGTGAGAAGTAGACATTGAAGATTAGGACCAAACATAGAGGAGAAGTAGATGGCCACATTCACTTTAGTTTGTTCAAGAAATGGTCTGGTAGATTGTAAATATGCAGTTCTATTACACTGTTTTCAGTCCGTGAGCAAAGTGCTAAGAACGAACGGCAAATTGGTGGTCACGGGTGAAACGAGTAGTTTAAAGGTGGTGCTGTCTTCTGGTCGGTCTTTGTCTGATCGACAGCTCGCATTAGCCACATAGCCGACGTCTAAGTTTGCAAGCTGCAGGATCTGCTTATTCACGCTGCAACTTGAATATAAGAGACCTATCGTTTGGTGCTAGCACTAACGATACTACAGCTACCTTCGACAGTTTTCAGGTTAAGCTCATTTGTTTTGCCATTAGCTGCAAAATAAATTTGTTACCAAAAGAGTTTTCAGATTAAATTACACATACATGTAATATAAGAATCGTAGAGCTTCGTTTCACGCATGTTATGGGTTAAATTCCGGTACATCCTTCATCTGATTGTGTCCTAAGTAGAGTCCTGTATCGCGTTCAGCGAGCATACCCATGGTTTCCTACACTTAACGCGGGCGGGCATCGCCTACCCACGTGCCCACCCACGTTGGCGTAGGTATGTCATACCCGTGGGTACGGGTAGATAGTGCCTACTACCCATTTTTCACCCGTGGGTATGGATGGGTAAGGGTTGAGCAGTGGGTATGGATACCATGCAGGTCTCTGATAAATACATGTACCGGTACAGATTATCGTATATCGGTATCATACACGTACCAGTAATATTTGGTTTTTAGTGCCAGCAGTAGACAAAACAAAATGTATGACAAGTCCTGGACGGCCAAATAAAAAAAGGTTTACAGATTTGTCTCAATGTTAAATATTCAGACACGTAAAAAAAACCACGGTGGCTACAGCTATATACCGGTACATGTAGGCACTACATTTGCACAGCTAGTTACGACACAACCATGTCTAACGGTAGATCAATAAAATGAAAACATTGCATCAAGTCCAGCTGGTTTTGTAGAAAACCAAGAACGCATGACATAAAACATATACTTCCGGACGCGTGCCAGACGTCATTTTGGCGGCCATCGCGGGCCCTCTGTAAAGGCTTATCGATCGCACAGGTAAACGACTTAGCGACAGATGCTGCTGCACTGAGAGACATTTACCTAAGCATCGATCATTCTAGAACCTCCTCGTCTTCACTGGCGTACATGTAGTACCGGGCTATATACGAAATATTACTTTTTTTTAACTGTCAGAACCGGTAAGAAAAAGGCGAGTACCATAGCCGCAAACCTGGTCAGCAAACATACGTTGCTTTTGTTGGTATACAAAAACATACGGGAGCTCTCGACCGAGATTGAAAAAATAAAAAATGAGCTCTTGTAGATCCGTACATATGCTCCCATCCCATTGATTTCAGGTGAGAGAAGCACGAAGAAGTTCTTTTAGAGGCTTTTTATTTGCCAAGTGGTACGTACCTGTCGTCCATAATACTTGAAGTCTCGGGCCCTCAACAGTTCTGTCCACTTTACGTGCATCAAGTGGAAAAGCCTGGTCTGTCATCATGTCTGATTGGATCACTTGTTGCTATTCCTCTATCTCTGATCCTGTTGTAGCATTGTGGTTGACTTTTTGAAAACTAGCTCTCGGTTCGACTGCATGTTGGCCACTCCGGTTTTCGTAAAGAAGGCTCGATCATTCTCCATTTTACCCGGTTGTACAAATGCGTCTTCAAATTCCCACGCTGGCCCTCGCCTTGTTCGCTGCCACAACGTCCGCGAACAACCTGCAAACGCCTTCACATCGGGGACTTAAGGCAGAAAGTCTTGATTTTTTGTCCTACAAGTGCGAATGCAAGTCCAAAATCCGTAAGTGTCTTTTCATCCACGGAGAACTGCACTCGAAGCATCACGATGATCTGCAAGATAAGTCCGATTATTTTGGCGACATGAAACACCACGCCCCATGCTGTTCGTCGATCAAGTACGTTTCGCTCGATACGGAAACCGTTGGCTGGACAGATGAGGATTTGCAGGAAACAGTCTGCAAGCACGCTCTATCGATGAGTGATAAGAGCGATGAAGAGAAGAAAGTTATCAAGGACACGATTCTCGTGACTCATTCCATGGGTGCCTTGATCCTGGCAGGTGCAGTCGCCAATGAAAAGTGCAAGATTGAAAAAAAAGCACGTCGTGGGTCAGCATGAGTGCGCCCATGTTGGGCTCGATGGCAGTAGACACTGCACTGAATGTTTGCTCGAACGAGAAGTCGAGGAGTTTTCAAGCTGCTATGTTGCTTCTGGGCAAGTGTCCCGTTAAGGCTGGACTCAAGTCTCTCGCGTATATGGGCGGACACTACAGCTCCAAGGAGCTTGACACGGCGTATGAGGACGCTCAAGACGTCTACAGTAAGTATGTAACCGCTGCCATGTGCAGCAACAGCTTTCAAGGTTTAATTTCGGGGGATCAGATCGAGTACGCGGGGTTAGCCACTTTCGCAGGTCATAAGTCGAAAAAGAACGATGGCTTCGTAACATTTGAAAGTTGCCGAGGTGGCCTGGATACCGAGAAGTTTGATGACGACCCAACTAGTGCGTTTTACGTGTCCAAGTGCAACCACGCCGATACAAAATTCAAGCACAAGGACGACTTGTTAATGAACAGCAAGAAACCAAAGCGTTGGTTTGAGTGTGCTCTTTAAGTGCCGCATGAGGAGGAAGGAAGAGCGTAACGCTGGGTGCTTACAATGAAAGGGGAGAGTACGGTAGAGTACTCGTGCATAGTGAGAAGAATATGCAATTTATACAATTGATATTCGTATCCAGTGTCGTGCGTCTTTATTTCTTTTGTGTGACTGAAGGTAATAACAAAAAGTAGCTGTCTAACTTACAGTATCGGTCTGTCCTGATCAATAGAAGACAACAGCAGATGCAGCACTTTTAGAAAAACATATTGATTTCGGACATCTTTACAGCGATGAAAAGGGATGACAGATATATAACAGAGTAACGGTTGACTAGTAGCGGAAAGGACGAGTGGCAGTCATTCAATTTGAGGAGCTGTGCTAATGCTGGAAGAGTGAGTCTGTTGCTTGTTAAAGCGTTGTGACTTCCCGTGCCTTGCCTGACCGTTTCGGCGCCTGTCTTTTGTCGTGCACAAAGGAGACCACGGTCTGTTGTATACGTGAACACATTGAGAAAGCTATCCTGAGTCAGCAGCACTTTAATAACAAAAAGACTTCGTGATATTAGCAGCAGCACAATAGATTATGCACTTGTACTAGGTGCTCTTCACCCTGTTTAGTGTCAAGGACGTCGAAAATTATCTTGTAAAAGAAGTGCGATACTCGGAACGGATGAGGCACCAGCAGTTTGACTGATTAACTGCAGTATTTTAGGCCTCAGTGAGGGAGTCTGGACCAGCCTAGCCTCTGTCTGTAGCTGCTCTTCTGGCTGCTAAAACATATAGAGAGCTTCTGGATATTGATGCAACAGGCAAGGATTGGAAGGAGACGACGCGAGTTAATACCCGAGAAGTCCGTCTGAATATATGTTGTCGCCTCTGATGGAGTCTCGAGCTAGCGAATAGGGTGTGGTTGTACGATGGTGAGACGGTGCTGGTGGATAGATATGTTACGTACAAGTGTAAAAAATAAATATAAAATTATACAAAAAATATATAAACATTTAGTCAATATTTACTAAGATTTTTTAGGCGATGAATGTAATAGACACATGTAGCTATGTTTATCACTATCAGCTCACGAGAATGAAAAAGAGTATTTGTGACTTGGCTTGCCAGGAATCAAGGCTTATAGAAAACTTGGCTTCGCTAGTCACCGTTCAAAGAAGCCGTTCTTCAACTCAGACTTTATTTATATAGCATCTTCTTCTATATAATAAAAGAATTGTGTGTCCGTCCGTCCGTAGTGCTCCTTTTCCGGCATTCGGATTGGCTAATTTTACATTATTGGCTAATTTGGCATTGGCTGATTTTGCATTTTGCATTAATAATACCATGAGCTCATTTTCAAATATATAGTAAACTACCTACATTCGGACCCTTTTATATTTAAATTATCTTTATGTTATTAGAGAAAAGTATCTGTCCGTTTGCCATCGTGCTTCTCTGGGAATTCGAAATGACTTATTTTGCGTTTTATATTCATTCATATTCGCTAATATGCATTGAAAAACGTATTTAATCGATATATTTGGATGTCTGAAATATATAACGAATCTTATTTGTGAAATCTGATGTACTTGGCACGGGTTCAATATTCGCTGCCTGTCAAAACGGGCAAATTCGAAATTTGGGTAGTTCTCTCAAATGAACTTTGGGTTGCTTGCGGTAAACACTTTCGAGTGCTGTCGTGTAATAGTCATTACTTAACCCTTGCATGAAAACGAGAGTCCGTCCCCCAAGCTTGCTTGGGTCTCACGCTGATTATCTTCTTCAGAAGGTGGCCGGTAGTTGTGCTATAACGGCAAACGAGAAGGCGTTAGGTCCGTAATAACGGTAGGGCCCGTATCCCTTCACTATGATTTCGTAATAAGTGACGCAAATCGGCTAAGCCGTGACCTCACACGGGCGAATTAGCATACCAATACGGTTAATGAGGAAAAAATAAAGACCGATAAGCCAACTAGGCAGGTATAAGGCAAAAGCAAAACTCTAAATCCGATTCTTGCAAGGGTAAAGGTGTAAAGCAAAAACCAATTGCCAAGACTAAAGGCCAAATACCAATGCCCGCAAGGGTAAAGGCTATAGGCCCAACGCCTACAAACACTTGATTACCTATATAATATACAAATTGTGTACGTCCATCCATCTTTTCACAGGTTTTCGGCATGTTGATTGGTCAACTTTATATTTAGCAATAATTGGTTTTTGTCGCACTTTGCATTAAGATCTCTACTACAGATTTAAGTCCTTACAATGGTGCTACAATTTAAGATGGAAAGCCCACGGTCGCGTCGAAATCGTCTGGCCCGGGAGCGACGTTCTCGGAAGCGTGCCAAAGAGACGAAAGAACAACGAGCCGCATGATGGCAAGAAGCGCGCCGTGCGCAACGCACTCGGAGGCGACAGGATAAGAACGCGGCAGCAGAGCGCGAGCGCAACCAAGTGGCGCACGCGGCACGACGAACCGAAATGACCCACGAAGACGCAGCGGCAGAGCGCGAGCGCAATAGAGTGGCGCACCAACAAACTCGCGCGGCCGAACCGGACCTTCCAGTCGCACGTCGCGCCGTTTTAGCTGACGCGCCGACGCAACGCCATGTGCTGAATTGGGTAGATGTGGTCTGCCGCAACTGCGCAGCACTTCATTGGATTCAGGAGCGAGTGCAGGGTCCCGGCTCAACCAGGCAAACCTGCACTTTACGCTGTGCTGTGACCGCGGCAAGGTAGCTAACATTCCACCGTTAGCGCAACCACTTGAGCCGCTACGGACCATGCTGTATGATCAGACGCCCATCGCCCGGGCTTTCCGGCAAAACATTCGTGCGTACAACAACGCGCTCTCTTTTACGTCTTTGGGTGCGAAACTGGACGATAGCTTTACTCAAGGTGGCGTTTACACGTTCAGACTGCAAAGCTCCCTATACCACCATATGGATGAGCTCCTCCCGGAGGAAGGCCATGCAAGGAAGTTTGCTCAGCTTTACATTGCCGACAACAGCGCGGCGCTTGCTGGCCGGATGAATGTTTTTCCGACCCTGAATCGCTGCGTCCTTGAAGAACTTCAGACGATGCTCGAGCTGAATAACCCTTATGTTCAGTTGTACGAGCAGGTTCGTCATCGGATGTAAAGTGATCAGGTTGTGGATCTGGAAATGCGTCTATTCTGCCTGCTGTCGAGCGACAGACGCAGGTACAATACACCTACGGCAAATGAAGTTGGCGCGATCATGATGGGCGACGTTTACGAAGGCTAAGACGGCAGCATCTCCGATCGTGACATTTTCCTCAAAAGCCGCGACGGGCGCTTGCAGCGCATATCAGCATTGCACTCCTTCTACACGCCACTTCAATATGTCCTCCTTTTTCCAGACGGCCGACAGGTATGGACGCCAACGATGCCACTCAGGGGACTTGAGTATGAGGCTGGAGGGAGGATGTTCCAAGACAATGACGGGAATGCCGCCCGTGGGATGGCAGGATCGAAACGCTTGTCGCAGATGCAGTACTACTCCTACATGCTGCACCCTAAAGCGCCAGGAGAGCATCTTTTTCTGTCCGGGCGGCTCTTCCAGCAATACGTCGTGGACGCGTGGCATGCGTGGAGCAGAATCGTCTAGTACATCACCGATCACCAAGGCGAGCTGAGGAGCGAGTTGTATTCCAGAGTGATGGACGCAATCACTGAGGGAGCCACGACGCCGCGCAGGTTGGGCGCAAGTTGACACTTCCGTCGACTTTTGCCGGAAGCGACCGTCAGATGAGTCAGCTGTACCAGGATACAGTGGCCATCGTGCACAAGTGCGGGCGGACGGACCTTTTCATTACATTCACGTGTAATCCAAAGTGGTCCGATATTACAGCGGAGCTAGAATTCGGACAGACGGCGCAGGATCGGCCCTACTTGGTCGCAAGGGTTTTTCACATAAGGTTGAAGGAGCTCATGCGAGCGGAAGATCTTCGGAAGCGTTGTCGGCAAAGTCTGGGTTGTTGAATTCCAAAAGCGCGGTCTTCCGCATGCGTACATCCTCTTAATACTTTGAATGCATCAAATCTACGCACCGCCGAGGAAATCGACTCGGCCGCTTCAGCGGAAATCCCGGATCAAGGTATTCACCTGGATGCATACGAGACCGTCACGCGCAGCTTAGTGCATGGGCCTTGCGGTGTGGAGAATCCGAAGGCGTTATGCATGGAGGACGGCAAATGCACAAAAATTATCCGAAATCCTTCGCCGACCAGACGTCAACCGACGTAAACGGCTACCCTGTATACCGACGGCGTGATGATGGGCGGTTTTGCTGACGCAAAAGGCCGCCATGTGGACAACCGCTGGATTGTGCCGCACAACATCTACCTTTGTTGCAAGTATGATGCCCACATCAATGTCGAGGTAAGTCTGACATAACTGCTATCAGAAAGCCGGCGAGGCGTCCGAATTTACACTGACTAACACTGAACATGTCCACAGATCTATTTATCGATCACTACCATTAAGTATCTTTTCAAATACGTCTACAAAAGGCTCGATCGTACGACCGCAGTGCTCCAAGACAAGAGCGAATCAAACAGTATATTAACGCGCGCTACATTTCTGCTCCGGAAGGATGCTGGCCACTTTTAGGTTTTAAATTGCACAACTACTCGCGCCCGTCCAGCGCTTGCAAGTTCACTTACCGGGCCAGCAGCACATTGTATTTAATCCGTATTGAGACTTGATGGACACGGTGAACGCGGACCGTGCGCGAAAAACGACGCTTATGTGGTGGAGTGGGTTCTCAAAATTGTATGATGAGACCCCAAACCACTCACTGTGCCGGACTGCCGACTGTCGGAGGGGGTACCCCGATGCCGCGTATGGGCCTTCTTCTCACCTTGTGTACCCGTCGGCTGGCGGGTTGCACTCTTCGGAGGACCTGGTGACGATGTAGATGTCTGCCTTGAGGGAGGTAGACCTGGGGGGCCTCGAGTGGATATGCTTCACTCGGTGGGCCGGTAGGTGGCCACTCGATCGACCTT